ACATCCCACATCTGGGGCAGCCATACCCATGTGCGCTCTGGTGGCATTGGGGCAGAAGAGCCTCAAGCTGCTGCCGCCTTGTGTGGATCTGAGAGCACCCCTGAGTGCTCTCTTGGCTCTGTGCCCATTAGTATGCTAATTGCTTTTAAATAGATCCAAGACATGAGCCATTGCCAGTCGGACTCACTTTCTTGATGAAAGATTGTGTTTCTTTTCCATCATCTGTGTGTTTGTGTTTTGGAGATGTGATAACAGGAAAGAACAAATTTGGACAAGGAGTGTAATGCTGAGCACTCTGCACAGTTAAACAGAGGTTGCGGCTGCTAGCAGAGCCAGCCCTCCCCATATCCTCTCATCACCTCAGGGTTCATGGTAACATGATGCCCCAGCTCATACCTTGTCACTCTGTGTGTATAACCCAAGCTCGCCTTAACATGGCCTCAAGTCTTTCTCATGAGGTTCTGTAGCATAGCCCTGCCTCTGCTGTGATATTGCTGGAGCATCCTAAACTAAGTCTCTCCCAAGATAGTGGGCAAAAAATATGTGAGCTGTAATGCTGCCGGTTAAGTTCACCACTCACAGAACTATTCTTCACCTTTGGTGAAGTTACAGTCCTGTGATAAATCCGGGAACATACAGATAAATCCAGGCATACATAATATATGTTTACACAGGAAGAAACGTGGGATTAAAGACCTATTCCAATGTCAGTACATTCTTCAGTTGGTGTTTAATGCATTTAACCATATGGCAAAGTCTCACCTGAACACTATATATAATTTGATTATGTAGCAAGAGGTTCTTAAAAGATGGATAGAAAAAATGTCGACATACTTTCCCATGAAATCCAGAATAATTTTAGTACCCAGTCAGTAAAAAGCCTATTGCTTTAGGTACAGGAAAAGCTGGAGATAATGAGAATAAATCCTCTTTGTGACGAAAAAATGGTAGGTGGTGGGTTATCTGATTTGCTAACAAGGCATAGGATTTGTCTCTTCAGTATTTTATAGATAGAAATGGCTGTGTGTCTTCAAAACCGGAATTCAAAGACTCATAAATTCACAGCTTGGAAATAATAGAGTTAGCCCTTGTGTACTTGCCAAAAATATTTTGTACAAGGCTAGGAAGTAAACAGAATAGAATCCAGAGATCTGCTCACGTGCTTTAACCACGGAGATTTCCTAATTTCTCAGATCATTCTGCAATATTTGATCATTTTGTATTATAAGTATCCCAGTTTCCTCATTAAGGTTCAGTATGATTTGATACACCCTGCTTTCTTCCTTTGCCTTGTACATTGTAATTGCAGGAGGCGGAATTTCTTATTTCTGCAGTAATTAGCATGACACGGAGTTCATGCTTATTGGTTCTGATGTACTCCAATACAGATTACTTTCTATAGCCATTTGAACATAACCAGTAAGTTCAGCACATACTTACAAATAGATTGATATTACTGCAAACTATATTTATGGGAAAATAAGCTACATCTCTAAAAGAAAATCACCTAATTTAAGCACAGAATATCACTTAATCCTGTCAAAATTGCAATAGGCATTCACTGAAGACTCGCAAAGTGTAGTTCTGTACATCCTGCTCCTGGAAGTGGTGCTGAATCTGTTCTGAGTTTCTGAGCAAAGAGGAATTAATAGAATCGTAGAATCACTAAGGTTGGAAAAGGCCTCTAAGATCAACATGCCCAACTTCAGCCCACCCCCACCATGCCCACTGACCACGTCCCTCAGTGTCACATCTCCACAGTTCTTGAAAACCTCCAGGGTCGGTGACTCCACCACTTCCCTGGGCAGCCTGTCACAACACTTCACCACTCCTTCAGAGATTTTTCCTTATATCCCCTCTGAATCATAGTTCGGGTGAGTTTGGCTCCAAACTGGCACTAACCTCATCCTCTGGTGTGAATGTCCATTTGCAGCTGTAGTACATCAGATATCTACTGGTACACTGCAACTTATTTAGTTTTATTTGTAAAAATTAATTACACTTCTCTGAGTACATTACACTCAATGCAAATTAAAGTGCAGTGTGTAGGGATGGTTTGGAGGTAGACTTTCAAAGCCCACTCCAGAAGTGAGCTAATACATTCATGTAGACATGTCCTGATTACCCCTCCATGCCATGCCATCATGCCAGATTTTCCCAGCCCCTCGGAAAGTAAAATATCTTTATTTCCTTCTTTACAAATTTATCTTGTATGGGAATGTACAAGATTGAGTAAAACAGATAGATGTAGGTTTTATTTTGACTGTAATAGATAAATTCTACCATGGGTATTATAAGCAAGCAAATGGTCTCCAGTGTGTGAATATTTATGTTCTGCCTAGTAGTTCCATAGGAACTCTTCAACCTCTATTAGAATTTCATATTTTTCATGATAAAAAGTGTAGCTGATTCCCTTGAACATCACTGACGTCATCATAAAATTCATCAATCTCATCTCAATCTTCTAATGATCCTGCCTCAGGAGAGGCTTTTGACTGAAGATAATGCTTGTCAATAAATGTAAGTGGTTGAGTTCCAGCTAAAACAGGGGGAAATAACATGTAAGCAAACAATGCATTTAAGGCTACCTGAATCAGACACACTTTAGAGATAAATTTAAAAAATATATATATATTTTCTGGCTGAGATGCCAGCTCCTAACTTATCCATTCTAACTTCCCTTAAAACGACTGACAAGATCACTGAAGTCAATAAGGTTACTAATATGCTTCAAGTTTGGCATGCCTACATACTTTGTGAAACAGGTGCTGAAAAACACTGTCAGACATAACAATTGCTGGTGCTGTTGTTGTTTCAAAGACTGAAAGAAAAAAAGAAAAGAACATTGTCTAATTTTTTGGGATGTTCACCTTAACTAGAACCATAAACTTGTAGAATCATAGAAATGTTTGAGTTGGAATGGACTTTTAAAGGTCATCTAGCCCAAACGCCCTACAATAGACATAAACACCTACAGCTCCATCAGGTGCTCAGAGCTCTATCCAGCCTGACCTGGAGTGTCTCCAGGGATGGAGCATCCACCACCTCTCTGTGCAACCCGTGTCAGTGCTTCATTAGAAGCTGCAGAAACAAAACAAAACAAACAAAATGATGAGGTCATATAAACTGATGGTCAGACATGGCAGGCTGGATTGCCCCTGTATTGTAAAGTAAGCCAGATAACATCTCAGCAAAATATTCTCCAGCAGTAGGAAGTATATTAAAATTCTTGTCTTGGCTAATTCCCTCACAAATTCATTGACAATTACTAGCAGCTTCTGTGAAGAGCTAAGCAGCCTCAAATTATCAGGTGAACTGAATGAGATTCAATGTTTAAAAAAAGTCAGAATAATAATTCAATAAAATTGAAGCACAAAGCTCAGTGGAGAGTGTTCCTGTAAGAATTAAGTTATTGAAGTTTAAGCAATCATATGCAATAACGCAGCTGAAATATTGTTTCATAATAAATACTACTGCTGATGCAAATCTGATTCATTCTAGTGGCTACCATAATTAACTGCATGGTTTGTGAGCGGTTAATTTAGAGGATGAATAATTGGTTAAAACAAGTTTTGTGTATTGCAATGTAATATCCTTGTTCAATTTTCCACTTAATTTCAATTAATATGGGTTCTACATGCATTCCACTGTTGCAGCTTTTATGCCTATTATTTTTAATTAGAAAAAAGTGATACCTTGGTAGAAGAGAAGAAATGAAAAACACTCTATGTTCTCCCAAGCTTATTCCATTACAGATATTTCAAGCTCATATCCCTTAACTATACATAATGTTAAACATTCTTCCTGAGGCTGACTGGAACTGGAAGTGCCAATTCCAGTATCAAGCAGAAGGCAAGAAAGGAGCGAGGTGCCAAGAGAAGTGGTGATGCCCCATCCCTGGAGACACTCAAGGTCGGGCTGGACGGGGCTCTGAAAACCCTGATAGAGCTGTAGGTGTCCCTATTCATTGCAGGGGCAATGAACAAGATGGCTTTAAAGGTCCCTTTCAACTCAAATGATTCTATGAAATGCCTGTACATCACTATTTTCATAGCACATCTTGCTTTCTCACACTGTGCTGCTCCAGCAGCCCAGGTGGGCTGGTGTATGCTCCATGCCTGCTTCTCTGTGGGAGAGAGGCTCCAATAACATGGACAGAGAATTCTGTTTTGGTTTCTTTCATTCCTGGCTGCTCCCATACCGAGCTCCTTAGGGACATGGTTCAGAGGGAAATATTGGTGATTGGTGTACAGTTGGACTAGATGATCTTAGTGTTTCTGGACTTAATGATTCTATTAATCTATGATTCTATGGTTAATGGCACTGCATTATATGATGCTGCTGAAGGAATTTTTCTTGTGCTTTTCTCAGGAGCTGCAGAAGAAAATAGAAATGGTTAACCAATTCTGGCTTAAGAGGACGAGAGTTATCACCCAGCCTACATCATCAAACTCTTCATGGACATTTTAATGCATTCATCTGCATTGCATCATTATCATCACTTTTCAAATGGAGAGTTGCAGAGGACCTAGAGACTGGAGAGTTGTTAGCATAGTAAACTTTTTATACATTTAAAAAACCTGTGCCTAGGTCAATGTGTTCAAACAGTATTGATGAGCATTCTCTGAAATAGAAGTATCACCTGCAAGACCGCCATTGTATGCAGCCCATGTTAGCATCTCCACCTCCAGTATTCACTAAAAAGGTTTCTGAGGTGTTTCTGTGAGGTGTAGAGTTGCACAGGGAACGGCATCAGCTGGACAGTAAAATTGCAGTAGTAAAACCAACTGGGCAGTAAAATTCTTATTTTTTAAATTGTTATTACAGTTTATTATTTTTATTTTTAACATAGTCAATCTGCATAGTAATAAGAACTACGAGCAACTTTAGGGGATGCTTTCCATTATTAATAACTAACCCATTAGCAGATGTCTGAGGAGCTGGTTGTGTTTCAGCCCTGCTAAATACCTAAACACCTGCTTTGTGATGTTCCCTGGCAGGCCAGATGACACTGAGGACGCAGCACGTTCAGGACTCCAAGATGGGCTTTGTAATCAACGCGATATACTCAATGGCTTATGGCCTCCACAACATGCAGCTGTCGCTGTGTCCAGGCTACGTGGGCCTTTGTGATGCCATGAAGCCCATAGATGGACGAAAGCTGCTGGAGTCCCTCATGAAGACCAACTTTACTGGAGTCTCTGGGGACATGATCTTGTTTGATGAGAATGGTGACTCGCCAGGAAGGTAACGTTAACATTTGTCAAACTATTTAAACAGCAGACATGCTGCATGCTGTAGATCATTCACACAACATTAGAACTAAGATCTCATTCCTTGTTTTTCATATTTTTAGATTTTCTGAACTTATTTTTTCAGAATAACTCTTTTTATTACTGTGCATTTTTAATTATATCTAATATTATAATTGGAGAAAACACATGAGTTTTTCAGGCACTCAGTCTTTTTCTGTGGGTGGCAAACCATGAGACCCTCAATTTTCTGTTTGGAGACTATAATGTCCATCACAGTGTTACTCTTTCTCTCTTTGGGTATTTTAGAATTATGTGTTTTAAAGGTAAGAAGTCATTACTTGAATAATTAACCATAGTTCCTTTACAAAGAAAGCTAAAATACAAAAGATGTATTGATTAGTCTGGGATTTTTTTTCTGATTTGAATAATTAAAAATCTGCCTAGTTACCTTCCAAATGAAGCAGTACTATGTGCATAACACACTAAACTTGTAATTCACAGTGTACTGCTGTAAACAAATTAAACAGAGCTAAACATGATTTGCTGTGGCATACATGCAATGTCCATATGGAAGCACATACTCAGTATACTAATGAGAATTTTTCTAGTTTTCTGCTACTGAACTGTCAGAAGATGAACAAGTGTGATAGCATTTGAAGGGTATTTATTTTTTCCTTCTAGTTCAGCAAGTAGATTCCTGCCTCATTTCACTGCATTTACTCCAGTTTGATTGAGGCAGTCCTTTCTGTCAACATTATTGAGAAGGTTTTAAATGTCTGTGCGATGACTAGAGGGAAAACTGGTCATCCTGTGCACTCATTATTTGCATTCCCTCTAATGTAAACTGAAACAAAAGAATTAACTAAAGAACAGAATGGGACAAGAAAATAAAATCCCATTGGTCAGAATACTCTGATATTTCAAAACTTTTCTACAATTTCAGAAATTATTTTTTTCTTGTTTTATTTGAAAACCTGTAGTGTCAATATTTTCAACAAAAGATAGCAGGCCAGACACGTGCTTTAACCAGTCTTTTGGAAACACACATTTCTGAAATCTTCAGACTCAAACTCTAAGGAGGCCCCTCATGAGCTGTCAGGAAAACTCAAACAGAGGAACTCAGGAAATTAAAAAAAAAAAAAGGGTGGGAATTTATTGCTAGCATTGTTTTGGTAATCAAGGCTATCTTCCATTATGCATTTCAATTTTTACAAATTGCTGAATTCGGAAGAAAATTACTCAGCCTGCATATTTTTTTCTGACAAAATCTGATTAAAATTTGTCACAGACTTCTCTTAAAAGATTTCTGTTTGATTTTAGTGATATTTAGGTGTAATTAATTGTATCCTATATTATTCCTATCTCATTTCCACTCTTTTCTTATAGAAAGAGTGAAGTGTGCAGTAAATAAATAATATGAGACACTATACATCAATGACAACAGCTAAATTTTGCAAAGAGAACCTTATATTTACCTTTTTTTCATGTTGGCATTCTCAGCAATAGTGTTTCGATTCCATTCGCCTGAAGGAATTTAACAAATACTTTGGTGTCTTTATATTCAACGTTCAATTCCAAAAAAAGATGAGGAAGGAATTATATTGTGCACATTCATTTGCACAAGTCACAGTAAAGCACCAGTGTTACACTGGAGAGCATGGAGTCTCCATATTATGAATCTCAGTGTAATGTGAGTCCAGCCTCATTAGATGCATATGAGATACAACAGTCTCTGCCTCCTCAAAATAAAGAAATGTGAGAAGGGATAAAATGTTTTTCAGAGCTTGGTTACTATAGAAGCACAGGTCTTTGTTCTCTCCTGTCCTAAAACTGTCACATCATTAAATCCATACTATGTGCTTAAAGTAGCCAATAATGAGTCAAAATTTACTTTTTAGTGAGAAGGATTTATAGGAAGTTCCATTTCTAATTCCCAGATCTGGATAGTTTCTCGTCTTTTGAGCACTGTCAAATACTGTTTGCTACAGCTGGGAGATGGTGCAGTTGTGATGGAATATCTCATCTTCCCTGTTCACTTCTGTTGCTAGCTGCATCTTCACTTTGTAAAACGAAATGTAAATCCTCACAGCTGTACTGTGGTAGTGGTGTTAAGCAGGAAAACAGAATGTCAAAAGCCTTGCTGACCTAGATAGCTCTGGATTTTGATGTATACCAACAGGGTTTTGACATTATAAAACAGATCACTAATCTCACAAGATGCTTCAAATCCTGGCCCTATCCCAAAGTTCTTTATCAGTAAGCTGAGCTTTAAGCAGATAGATAGTCAAGTAGAGAGCTTGTTTTAGGTGAGATGAAGACATGGGAAAAAAGATCAGTATGGAAGCAGCAGCCATGATCTCTCAGAGTGATAACAGCTGTCTGCAAATATTAAGGAAACTCCAAGAAAGAAATTGAAAAGGCAAGAAAAGGCAAGAAAAACAAGTTGGCGATGTCTTGTCTACTTGCTACCAACAGAATATGGATTCTCAGCAAACTCATGGTACTTCTGTTTAGTAGCAAGTGTTTTGCACTGTGATTAGGACAGTGCTGGAAATGTGTTATTGCACCATCTGGTCTCTCCTATCCTAAAGTGACAAGCTGTCCCTGTGGTATCTCAAGCAAGCTCCAGGGAACCAGTGATTCATGAACTTCTGCTATAGAAATGAACTTCCTGAGTCTGGTTATTGCTGTGAATCTACCAATACTACTCTCTGCAGAGGTCTTGTGAGAGACTACATACTGAGGCAATAGGTTTATTTACTATGTCAAGTTTCTTTTCAGTATCTCCCCTGGGATATAAGCATGGAACTAGTCTACAGCTACTGGAGGTATAATCATTTTAGTTCCAGTGGCCTGATAAACATTGACAGTACTTTTGTTTATCTGCCCATAAAACTCTGAATTGACAGCTTCAACAAAGCAACCTTCAGAGGAGCATTACAATGTCCTGATAATATGGAATTAAGACTCCGCAAGGGCTTCTGGGCTAACATTTTGGTTGGTCTGTTTAATGCTTAATCAGACCATTATTATGTTTGTAAACCTCAGCAAAAGCATGCAAACGAAAACAAACCCTTGCAATCTTTTTTTTTTTACCACATATAAAATCAACCTGTTTATTTAGATTTGTGTATGTGTTTATTTAGATTAAATGTATATGTGTTAGTCTCATATTCAGCCTTCTAACTTTGATAGGGTATCTGAGTATCAAAGGTGTGGACATTTCCTCCTTTATATAAGACAAACATTAATATATTCTAAAATCCAGGATAATAATAATTTTTCCTCACTAGCTGTGTCATTGCTCATTTCTTTTTGTTTTGGAAAGAGTAAGATTCTCATACAATCGTAGAATCTTAAAGGTTGAAGAAGACCACTGCAATCATCTTGTCTAGTCATCAACCCATCAGCACCACTTCCATTAAAGCAGGTCTCTCATGATATGGATAATGTCACACTGGTCATCCACTCAGGCTCCATTTCCATTTTATTTCACTGTTTGCTTGCAGTCCTGATCCTGTGTTGCAGGTCCCTGACCTGTGTTTGATTTTGGCATTGACTCGCTGCCAAACCAGTTTCTTCTCTGAGACAATTAGATTTTATCTCCTGGTTTAAAACATTCAGGGATCCGTGTCTGGAGAAGTTGATCAAAGGAGAGGTTTACTGTAGCTTTTTTTTTTTTTTTAAATCAGCCCAGAAAAATCATTGATTTTATAGACTAACTACTGCTTGCTAGTCTCCAAGTTGCTTTTGGAGTGACCTACATTTCTGGACATTTTGGTTTTTGCCTCACCATAGTGAAGTTTAAATCTCTGAATTAAGGTATAAAAGAGCTACAGAGACGGTGAAGGTCTTGGAGGGCAAGATGTACAAGGAGCAGATGAGGTCCTGTGATTTGTTAGTCCAGAGCAGAGCAGGCTGAGGGGAGACCTTTGCAGCTTTGGGTTGTACTCAGTGATCCGTGTGGGTCTCTTCCAACTTCAGATATTCTCTAGTTCTATGATTCTTAAAGTATTACCACAAAACTTTAGTATCTTATTTAAGAGACAGTTTGATTTAATGAGCTGGTTCTTTTACTTATCTGCAACTTCATAATGGACTTCATAATGTGCACTCTAACAATATCAGTCTTAATCCAGCTCTTTCAATATGTTTTCCTCGGGAACAAATTTTGAGTCTACTGCTGGGAAAAAGTTGACCTCTCGTTTATGAACCAGGTAGGTTTCTTAAGCCTAGGATTGCACTTACATTCTCAGTTTATAGTGTTTGCTTAGTGATTTTCAAGTTGTTTACTCAAATCACTGCAAAATCCACTAAAGAGAAGATAAAGAAAAGATGATATCATCACTTCAGGAGATGCCCAACTTTCCAGACTGGATTACAGGGCAGGAAGGTGGCCTGGTATTAAGCATGCTAGAAGGAGGCTGAGGAATTGTAGGCTGCCCCACAAACATTCTTTAGGACTCTATGGGAGCTAAGAAGAAAGCATAGGAAGAAGGAGAAATGTGAACCTGAAAGCTGTGATCAGCTCTGATCTACTCTTAGGTCTTCTGTTCCCAGATGTCAAAGGAGTCTTACCCAGAAGCCACTTAGGACTGAGGCCTAGGTACCCTTTCCTTTCATAATGAAGCCTATGAAGAATTTAATATGTTCTGATCACTGAGGAATTATATAAAAAGGGAAGAGTGTCCTTTGTATGGTACAGAATAACATTTGATGCTGCAATGCTGTAAAAGAAAAATATAGGTGCAAGTCTCAGCTCCATTCTTCAAACAAGACTTAATGCCTGGATTAAAAGGCCTAAGCACTGTCACTTGCTCAGATCTCCCTGAAGCAAGTCCCAGAGTTCTGGAATCTGTGCCCAATGAATGATTCTTGACACCTCTTCAGGTATCACACCCACCCTGCATCATGCAGTCTTACAGCAGCTGAAGTCATAGAATCATAGATTTATTACAGTTGGAAAAGACCTGTAAGATCATGTAGTTCAACCATCAACCTGCCACCATGCCCACAAGCCATGTCTCTCAGTGCTACATCTCCACAGTTCTTGAACATCTCCAGGGATGGTGACTCCACCACCTCCCTGGGCTGCCTGTGCCAGTACATCATCACTTTTGCTGAGAAGAAATGTTCCCTAATTTCCAGCCTGAACATCCTTTTGTTTTTCTCAAGATACGAAATCATGAATTTTAAGAAAATGGGGAAGGACTACTTTGACTATATCAATGTTGGCAGCTGGGACAACGGTGAGCTGAAAATGGATGATGATGAAATATGGTCAGAAAAAAATAATATCATCAGATCTGTCTGCAGTGAGCCCTGTGAAAAAGGACAGATAAAGGTAAATATATTTTCTAATTATTTCAGTTGTATGCATAGGCTTGAAATGTGAAAAGAAATTCTTTCTATCTCTTTCATAGAGGCGGTATCCCACACCTTAATTAAACTGTTAAATTAATTAAATTAAACAGACATAAATTTAGTTCCTGCTCACATCATAGTCATTTCACAATTTTCATAAGTTACTACTGTTGTACTTCTGTATCTGTGAACTGTTGTCTTTTTTACCCTTATAATCCAAATGCTTTAGAGCAGATATTGTTTGGTGCTGTTTTGGTTTGGTTTTGTGTTTTGTTTTGTTTTGTTTTGTTTTTTTTTGCTGCATATGTTAATAGCATCTGATTCAGTGGGGTGTAAATCCCTGGCTGGGACTTGTCAGTACAACTGCAGGTAATTCGTAAATAATAATTGCTACTAATTTAGTGCTAGACATAGACACCTAAACTGGGCCATTATTACTCAAACACATCTGCGGTATCTTCGGAGAACATCGGTAACTACTGCTGCTTAGAACTGCGAGAGAAGTAAGTAACTTTTTTTTTTTTTTTAATGATACCTATTTTATCATTTCCTTTCTTTCTTAGGTTTTAGATTTTTTTCCAACCTCCCTGTTGGAGTGTGAGGAAGAAAGATAAATGATTCTGTCATATATTAATTGTACTCTGTTGTTCTGGAGCATTCCATGAAACAAAGCAGATAAAAAATCAGCAAGTCCCTAACTTGCCTTGCAGTCATTTCCATACAAGTCTGTGCACTGAGAGGATTATCATGGACAATGGAATGGCATGAACTGAAAAAGAAAAAACTTTTCTCCAGTGTTGACATGGCACACTTGCAAATTCGGGAAGTGGCAAGGGCTGATGGGAGGCTGACCATGCTCTGCAATACAGAGAGTGAAACATTTCTGTCCAAGTCTTGCGTAGTTTTAGGAAGTTACTGTTGTTTATTCACTGGCTGGTCTTTTGCAGAGTCAGCAAATTCCATCCGTTCAAATCCATGTGCCTTCAGCATAGTAGATACATGCAGTTATGTCAGATTTCCAAATTTCATAGTCAGTGGAAATACATAGATTATTTCAAATCAGGAGTTGTTTATCCTCAGTTAAGATTATAAAACAGTTGAGAGTAATCTTGGTTTAGAAACACATTTATTTTCACAGCCAGGACATTTGGTTCAGATGGAAACAAACATTCTGCAAACACATGAGGGAAGGGAGGATGACTTACACCCCCAGAAACTAATCATAGTATGTTAGCTTGCTGCAGCTACTAAGACATATATTCAAGAGCAAAGAGATGTACAAACAGGTATTACTGCAGAACTGCTTACTGACATCCTCTGTAACTTGTTTCCACAACTCAGGGGACAGAAAGAATCTTCAGTAAGTTTCCTCCCACCTTCTGCCTGTGCTATCAAGGATTCTCCCAAGACAGTTATCACAGAATCATTAAGATTGGAAAAGACATGTAAGACCATCTAATCCAACTGTCAATTCTTCTCTGTCAAGGCAGTTTATCACACACATACATACTTCAAGCCCAGTGTTTGAAATGTTCCTTATGCTCTGCTTTAGGCGACCGACTGTGAATCTCAAAGTTTACTGTATAATCTTTTATCTTCATTGCATTCACAGATGGTGGGGAAAGCTGGATCCTGCCTAACTTCTTGGTGGCTTTCTTACAGGGTTATTTTGGAATGAGTTATTATGAAGGAATTTGAAATTTTCAGTGCAATGAGATGCTGTTACTCAGCAGGGTTTTGTGTAACCATCTGAAGCAGAGGGTAAAATCCAAACATAATCCATTTGTATACATTCAAAATTGTGTAAAGACATATTATTATTCAGATAGTAATAATTCAACTGGTTCAGTGGATTAGAAAGATGACAAGAACATGGTAAAAAAAAAAAAAAAATCTGTGTTTTTTTTTTAATTAAAAGGGACAGGAAAGATTGTTTTACTGTTAAAAAAAATGCTCCAACAAAATTATATATATTCAAGAAATTGAAAGTAAAAGGATGAAGATACGATTTTATAATGGACTCTGATTTACGAACAATTCTTTTCTTCCTAGAGAAGGATACATAATCATGGTTAGTACTGGATAAGAAGTGCTGAGAGTACTAGTTTTCTTTCTAATTTTTCAGATTCTACGTATTCTATTAGAAGGTGCTAATTTGGTGAGAAGTTTAACATGAAACTGTAAATGAATTGTTTTGATAGAAAAGGTGTTTTCATAATACCATATTGTTATTAATTTGACATTTCACTTTCTTGAGTTGTAAAATGATGGATTTTATAAGGCATTATTCACTAAAATATGTCTAAAATTAGTACAAGCTTTCTGAGAATTTATTTTGACAAACACAAGGAACTTTTAAAAGCTCCATTATTCAAACTTTTTGTTTTAGATCAAAATGAAAGAAATCTGAAGATATGATTTTTCAGGAGGGCAGATACATTGCTTTGCAAGCACATGTAATCTAAGGTCTTAGAGAGCAAAATATTTATGCTCTTATGTTTTTTCTTCAAGTTTAGCTAATTAGGTGACTTTTATCTCCTTTCATCTTCTACTATTTTATAAATAAAATTCAAATTTCAAATTTTCAAATCCCTCTATTGCTGATGAAAAAGATACAAATTGCACTTTTTGTTCACTAAAGTTTTATAAAGAACAATGTGAGCAAGACAGTAATTCTTCTTTATACTAAGTTGCATTTCATTTATTGAAATTTCAATAAGAACATTTGGTTTTGAAGTCCTCTTCTAAATACACCACTGCATAAAAATACCAAATTTCAAAAAGCCAACAAGTCAGTTTACTCCTTGTAATGTAATTGAAAGTATTTAAAATTGTTTAAAAATAACAAAGAGATGGACACATGGACAAAAAGCACAGATAATGATAAATAAGGGTCTTGAAAAATCTACATCTCAATCACGAGATGTATGTAATGACATTTGGCAACAAATTATAAGATGAGAAATCAGGTCAGATGTTAAAATGGACTAAGATAACATTCTCATTTCTAGGAAATTAGAAATGTAGTAATCTAAATAGTTCCAGAAACCATGCTCAATTTGATATTTGGAAAAAAATCAGTTTTAACCAATTACTCAGAATTGAATGAAAAATAAGCATCCAAAAATCTTTGGATAATAAACACTCAAATTCTTTTCAGTCTGTGCTCAGTGCCAGGACAAGAGGCATTGGGCACAAACTGAAACACAGCAGGTTTCCTCTGAGCACCAGGAAGCACTTGTATGTGTGCAGGTGGTGGAGCTCTGTCACCGGTTGCCCAGAGAAGGTATGGAGTATCCCACTAGGAGATCTCCAAAGGCCACTTGACATGGTGCTGGGCACCCTGCTCTGGGTGTCCCTGCTGGAGCTGAGGTTGGGCCAGATGGACTCTTTTTGTGGTTCTGTATTGGCATCTATACTTCTACTGGGTTACTGGCTTCTTCTGGTATATACATGGTGTGGGAACGGAGAACTTGTGTCACTTTTTGGATGAACAACATATGATATCATATCATATCATATCATATTGTATCATATTGTATTGTATCGTATCATGTCAGGAGTTCTCTTCAACAACAACAGCAACAACAACAACCTTTCTTAGAAAAAAAAAAAGAAAAAAGAAAATTAGTACTTGGGGCAGCATGAATGTACATTTATGTTGCTAAATCAAATGTCAATTTTTATCTCAGGTGATTCGTAAAGGAGAAGTGAGTTGCTGCTGGACATGCACTCCTTGTAAAGAGAATGAATATGTCTTTGATGAATACACGTGCAAGGCCTGCCAGCTCGGCTCCTGGCCCAATGATGAGCTTACAGGTAAACAAGTTATGGGTGTGCTTATGTTGTCAATTATTACGTTCATTGGCTAAGCTGAAGAAACAAATAGCAGATACAGGTGAGTATGAGGACTCTTTGCTTTAGTCAGATTAAGCCTAGAGATATAACTGAAATCTGAACTCAAACTGGTATTTGTTATCTTTCCTCAAGTTGATCCAGAAGCCCTTAGTTTAATTCAGTTGCTCTCTAAAGACATAAATACATAAATTGCAAGATCTAGAAATAAAAAATCTAGTCCTAGCATCGAATTTGAAACTGTACTAGCACCAAACAGGTTGTGTATCTCATGCCCTTCCTCAAACACACTGAAAAATGAATAATTATCAGAGAAAATATTAAAGAAAGTCAAACTTTATTCAGTTTTATTGACCTCTCAGGCAGGTAAAGAAGAGTTGTGGCAATTACTGATGTTGAAAGCATCAATGCTCCAAATAGACTTAGCTCTGTAGCAGTCCTTTGTTCACCAGATGGTCTGCTAAAACACTGGTTTCATTTTCTCCTGGCCATTCTGTAGATCTCCATCCTCTTGCAGAATGTCAATTTGCCTCTTCCGGGGCAAAATTGTTCCAATACTTGTATCCCACAGACTCTCTTCTTTATGACTAATAGACAGGATTTGTGTGTTCAGATGCTCAAAGAACAAAGATGCTTTAGAGACTGCTCAGGGATCAGGTTCTCATTATGACTGTCTTTGCACCAGGGGAGAAGAGACAGGCTTTTTCCAGAAGAGTTCACAGACTCAGTTTACATATAATTCCTATGGATGAAGTGAGAAATGAGTGAGATTAAAGAGAAGGAAGACATAAGGAAAAACAATTTGCTGGGTGAATTTATGTAATTGGAAGAGTGTCAGACAGTGTTTGGCCTTTAGATAGATTTCTGTAAATAAGGTTAATCAAAATTTTTCCCTTGTAAGGGATGTTACATTGTGGTAACAATGATATACATGATATAAGAATACTAATTACTATAAATAATAATTTTAAAATTATTTAACTATGAAATTGATAGGGTATTTATCAGAAAATGCCAAATATTAAACTTCTGAAGAAAACTTTTAAGTGATAAAACTGAAACAGCAGCAAATTAGATTTGTAAACTCTACTCTAGTCCTGAACCTCCGGCACTGCCTTCCTGAGCACACAGCAATCAGTCAGAAAACCCCTCTCACATCAGGAAAAGCATTCTCATGTCATGGGAATGGAGAAAGGAAGAAGAGAACTTGATCTGTTTGATTCCTTCTTTCAGCACACAGTACACAGTTTTGAGTATAAACTCAAATTTACATCCTGCCTTGGCCATATGTTGACCCCACTGCAGGGACCAGGCTGCTGCACCAGGCTGATCAACTTGTGAAAGTCAACTGGTGCAAATGGCCAACTCTTCAAACAAATTCCTCTGAAATGCAGCAGTTCCCAGATCACACATTTGTTTCAGCTAGCACATGAATTTTTACCCAAAGTAGATCAGCTGGAATAACAGCTGCTACAATGAGGCTAGAAGGGAAATTGCTCTAAGTGCCTCATCTGGTCAATAGAGGATGCTTTTTTGAAACAATGGTGCTTATAACTGCCCATCATGTTGGAGAATTTGAAGGAAAGGGGAGGGAAGGAAATAGACTTTATGTGCTATATGTAAGGCAAAGTGGAGCAGGCAGCCTCCAGCATGGCTCTGGCACCTGGGGCTTTGTGTTGGCTCTCCAGGACACTCAGGACCCACAGCCAGGTATCAATCTGGGCTTGTGGTAGCATGTATCCTCTCAAGGTATTACTTTGCCCTCAAGATGGAAGAACAAGAGTGGGTTGGGTCAATGCTTTTCCACCTAACTCTGGGCATTTCAAAGGAAAGTTGTTCTTCCAGTCAAACCAACTGCTTCATGTAATACACGTACCATTATATTTTGAAAACATTTCGTTTGTCTTTTGTATGCTGAATCACGGCCTGAGCCTCTGATTGATCACCTGAGGCAAGCAATGAACCAGCCACAGGAGCACAGGTGAAGGCAATTCAGCTGTGCTGCCAGAAGGGGTGGAGCCTGGTTCCACCTCTCCTAGACTCATTTAAGAGCTGACTTCCACAGGGTATCTTTTTAGGAGATCCACTCTACTGGGGTTTCATAAGTGAGCCTAGGATACAGGTAAGCATCCTATCTTTTCTGGTTTGGTGTAATAACTATGTAGTCAAGCTCTCTGGTATATCTCATAACTGTAACATCTGTGCATTCATTGATATACAGTCTTTAGACATGCATTTTATGTTGCATGGCAATGAAATCTGATAGGCACACGTTAAACATCAGTGGACATCAATACAAAGCAATCATTTTTAGGAGATCTAGCTGTTTCTTCTTAGCTGGGCACAGATTCAGCAGAGCATTGGGTAACTGAACCCTACCTCAGTCTCTATGAACACTGCTGATACAGCACGCATTCCTGGTAACAGGATCCCTATCATCATAGCTATATGGCCCTATGTTTCCAATCTAACTTAACTATTCACATGATGATTGGATCTGGTCTTATTTAGCCTTGTATCAAAAACAGATTTTAAAAAGTTTATTCCCAACTTATCTATATGATATATTAAGCTGTATGTTTTTCTGATTGTATTTATAGACCCAACTTTTGCAACTTGTAAAGAAATCACCTCTTGATCTGACTTTGTTTGCAGTGTAAGTTTAGTAATAAATATGAAGTAAATGTGAGGAGAGAGAAGTGCATTTTGAATTCTGGTGAGCAAACTTCTCATTAACTTTTCAAAGCACACACCAATCTCCTTGAGATGTCCCTACATCTGATACTGCAGCAGACTGTGTCTCTTTGCTGCAAGATAAAGCCATATCTTAGGTAATGTCAGCTCCTCAAGGCCACACATAAAAGCTCACTGGAATAAGTCTTCCTTGCATGGTCACTTTTATGTGAGAGTTCTGCTTCTGAGCCTCTGGTTTTTGAGTCAGTAAATTTATCAGCCATGCAGAAGGAAAGGCTTTCAATGTGAAGCTGCACCTCACTGTCTGCCAGAGGTCCGAACTTAGATAAAAACATTTTTTTTAAATCCTTTCTTGGCTCATACAACAAAACATCACTTCAGTTTTCTTATACACAATGGCCGGTATCAATTTGGGCCACAAACTTCAATATATAAAAGATATAATGGCTGAGATGCTGCTTATAAAAAAAAAAGTTCAGTCTTGTTTTTCAGCCACCTGAATGAAAATCACCAATATGAGAATTCAGCTGCAGGAGGAGAGCAGACAGAAGAGATGCAATGTGTGTAGGAAACCATTATTCTCATAAAAGATAAAGAGCTGTGAGATCTCAAGTACAGTAAGGCTTAGTAAGTCCAAAGGGAAAAATGAGTGGGAGGAAGAATTTCTCTTGATTAAGTCAGTTACTGGAAAATATATCTATCTAGAAAAACTGAGGCTAGGAAAACAATGTTTAGTCGCTAATATCTTATTCCTTACAAATTTTATTTTCATTGCTTGTGCACAGAACTTTCCCCAGGGACCAAACTGTACCTAGAATGCAAACCTACTAATTCTCTTTTCTTTTTCCCCAGTCCATGTGTACTATCCCCAAAAGCACTCCAGGTCCAAATCTTTCTCCTGGGCTAGTGTCAACTGGTCTACTTATGTACTGTAGATCTCCTTCCTAACACTCTGTTAGTAATGTGTGTATGTGACACAACCACTTCACACAGCACTCAGTGTGACTGAGCCATACTCAATTAGAGCAGAAGAAATGCATGATTTGAAGTCCAGAATGATATGCTTACACCTCCACTGTTCCTTAAAACACTTAATGGTGCTACATTCACAGTGGGAGGAAGAGAAATGGATTCCAGGTGTGTTTAGATATGAATAAAGAAACTCTTACCTTTTTTGGTCCAAATCCTGATGCAACTGATTTTTCAGTAGGCTGAGAAATGCTTTTTAGTTCTGGAATCCACTGACTTTGAGGGCATGATCGTCTGCATTCAGGAAGGATACCTTGGGAAAACTGAACAAGTTTTGCTCAGCAATGCAAAAGTTTGTGAGTGGCTGTAGGAACATCTTGATCTGGTGATCCCCAGGACATTTTTGAGGGGGAGACAATTATTCTTTCTTTCTGTGATTCAGGGACAATAGAAAACAACAACAGAAATGGTTCTGGTAATGTCGGGGATATCAAAGAAAGCAGATGACATTAATTAAGTGACTTTTGCATTATCTTCAGGCTACACTGACATTTTCATCACTCCTTGTGTACTCCAACTATGCTGGTTATTTGATTTTCTTGATTAGATTCCGATGAACATAGGAGGTGAAATACTTTACGGTTCTTGAAGTTTTCTTTGTCACTCATGATAAGGCTAAACATCAGAAATAGACATTTTTGCTATAGTTACAAAAATTCCTTCACCTAATAAGGTGCAGTATACCCAGTATAGCAGATTTATGATCTTCATGTTTGAAAATGCTAGATAGGAACAGGAGTATCCAAACAGCACTTCAATGGTGAGAACTGGGGGGAAAAAAAAGTGCATTCCACCTCTACATGACAAAACACTTCAACATGCTGACCATACTGGTGCTGTGTTCTGTTATCAGCCTGCTCCTTCCTGAGCCCAAGCTTGTACTCCTATGGATTCATAGAATCACAAGATCATTTGAGTTTCTTGTCTTCCTTTCTTGACTTCCTTTACCTGTGGATGGAGAGATCTTGTGCCCCAGGAAAAGCTTCCTTTGAGATCTGCCATCCCTTCTCTGCTCTCTTTCATTTGAGGATGGTTTCCCCAAGGGGTTTGTTGATTAACTCCCTGAAGAGCTGGAATTTGGCTTTCCTAAGATTTAACATCCTGACTTTTACTCTATCTGTCCAGTATCCCTCAAGGGTGTAAATTCCACTACTGCATGGTCACTACAGCCTACAGCCCAGGCAGCCTCCAGTGCTGATGTAATCAATCAGTTCACTGGCGTTGGTCAGCAACAGATCAAG